TTGGGGACCCCTAGTCACCTTGGGTGGGGGGAGGATTTAGCTAGGGGCCCCACCCCAGCCCAGGGGTGGGGGTACGGGGAGGACAGTAGGTCCCCCCCCTCATTATCTTTGTGGCCCCCACCCGCAGCCCAGGGGTGGGAGCTGGGGGGAGGACAGTAGGTCCCCCCCATTATCTTTGTGGCCCCCACCCGCCGCCCAGGGGTGGGGGCCAGGGGGGGAGGACAGTAGTTCCCCCCTTCATTATCTTTGTGGCCCCCACCCTCCGCCCAGGGGTGGGGGCCTGGGGGGAGGACAGTAGGTCCCCCCCCATTATCTTTGTGGCCCCCACCCGCCGCCCAGGGGTGGGGGCCGGGGCGAGGACAGTAGGTGTCCCCCCCTCATTCTCATTAGTCTTTATGGCCCCCACCCGCCGCCCAGGGGTGGGGGCCGGAGGGGGGGTGGACAGTAGGTCCCCCCCCCTCATTATCACTATGGCCCCCACCCGCCACGCAGGGGTGGGGGCCGGAGGGGGGGTGGACAGTAGGTCCCCCCCCTCATTATATGCATTCTACGCATGCAGAAACCAGCAACCACATACCACACCAACATGAAACTAGTCTCCTATAACTTAAAAGGGTTAAATACCCCGAATAAACAAAGATTATTACTCAAAGAACTCACTGACCATGGGGTTGACATTGCGTGCATCCAAGAAACGCACTTTAGAAAGGGCCACACCCCAGCAATCTACAGAAATAAATACCCTCTCCAGTTCCACTCCCTTGCCAGTACTAAGTCTAAAGTACTTGCCAGTACAAACACAGTATTTTTCTGCGCGCGGGTTTTTTCTTTTTCGTCTGGTTTTTTCTTTTTCGTCAGGTTTTTTATTTTATTTTCAATTCGACGGTTATGATGGTTTTTTATTTGGCCTTTTTTGGGGCTGAAAAAAGAAGATTTGAGAAAAAAGAAGACGTTGAATGGTAAGTTTAATTTTATTTTACAGGTTAGTTATTTTATTCCCCCCTCACTATTTTTTAGGGTGAGGGGGGTAGGTAGGGACTTTTTATTTGGGGGGGGTGGTGACTAGGGGCTTGGGGACCCCTAGTCACCTTGGGTGGGGGAGGGATTTGCTTAGGGCCCCCACCCGCAGCCCAGGGGTGGGGGCCGGGGGGGGAGGACAGTAGGTCCCCCCCCTCAATATCTTTGTGGCCCCCACCCGCCGCCCAGGGGTGGGGGCTGGGGGGTGGAGGACAGTAGGTCCCCCCCCTCATTATCAATATGGCCCCCACCCGCCGCCCAGGGGTGGGGGCTGCGGGGGAGGACAGTAGGTGTCCCCCCCTCATTATCTTTAGGGCCCCTACCCGCCGGCCAGGGGTGGGGGCCGGGGGGGGCAGTAGGTCCCCTCTCATTATCAATATGGCCCCCACCCGCCGCGCAGGGGTGGGGGTGGGAGGGACAATAGGTCCCCCCTTATTTTTCATTTTAGGGCCCCCACCCACCGCTCGCAGGAGCGGTTTTCGCCACCATCTTTGCTAGGGCTGTTGGTTTCCCGCGTTTTTTTCCGGCGGATCGTGCCAGGAAGAAAGACTCTCTTTCGGCTTTGATAGCCTTCTGCTTTTGTTTGTGGGGCATTGCTGTCCGAGGGTGGTGTGTGGGTGCTCGGTAGTCCGTTTATTTTGTCTCCTTATCCACAGTCCGGCGAGAGCTTCACGAGCTTGTGTCCATGCGGGTTAAGCTCCAAGCCACGCCCCCTATTTTTACTTTTTTAATGAGGTGGCTGGCTAGAAAGCACTGGACAGCCTCCACATAATAACTCCTCACATTGACAAGGTTTTTTTTAATTGTTTGCAAATACTTCTGATTTTTTATAATCTAGGCCGTATTTGTAGCCTCAAGGCCCAGATTTGAAGCATTCAGTCTGTTAGTTTGTTACAATGTGGGTGCCGAGCCCAGTATGTGGGCCGTACCACACATAAGCTCCATGTTAGACTTTTGGAGCACTTTGACGACTTAAAAAAGGGCAAATTTGATCACAGCGTCCCAAAACATTGCAACTCTTGTTATTCTTTTCATTTGGATATTTTTTTAGCATTTGGTATAGATCATATTGATTTAGGTTGAAAGGGGGGTAATAAACTACAAGAACTTATTTGCCAAGAAGCCTTTTGGATTTATAATTTTAAAAACTCTACAACAAGGTCTTAATGCAGGAATAGACCTTCAAGGTCTTATTTAATATGTTCCTTTTCCTTTCAGTTTTTCATACTTGTTTTGCATATGATGCATTTATCAATTAATACTGTGTTGTTGGCTATTTCAAGGTTTTTTAATTCCAATTTTTCATCAATTTACTACACATATTTGTAATATTTATATATACATGTATATATGTATATATTTGTTTATTTGCATCTTTGTGGATGTAGACTTTTGGAGCACTTTAACAACAAAAGAAAGGGCAAATTTGATCACAGCGTCCCAAAACATTGCAACTCTTGTTCTTCTTTTCGTTGGGATAATTTTTTTAGCATTTGGTATAGATCAAATTGATCTAGTTTGGAGGAGGGGGTAATAAACTACAAGAACTTATTTGCCAAGAAGCTTTTTGGATTTCTAATTTAAAAACTCTACAACAAGGATTTAATGTAGAAATAGACCTTCAAGTTCTTATTTAATATGTTCTTTTTCCTTTCAGTTTTTTATACTTGTTTTGCATATGATGCATTTATCAATTAATACTGTGTTGTTGGCTATTTCAAGGTTTTTTTATTCCAATTTTTCATCAATTTACTACACATATTTGTAATATTTATATATACATTTATATATGTATACATTTGTGTATTTGCATCTTTGTGGATGTACTTCTCTTTTTGTTATCAATGATTATTATATTTATTTAGTTATTATATTTTATTGCCATTCCCTTGAATTTTTTGACAGCACAGTACACTAGTTAGGCTGTTATGGTCTTTTTGATTGTATCGTTTGGGTTTAAGGCAACTGTTCGCCTATTCTGTCTGATTTCTTCCATTTAGATTTCGTGTGGTAACTCTTTCCGTGTGTGCACATGTTTTTCTTAGCAGCATGCACACGCAGTGTAAATATCCGTTCCTGTACTCATTCGAATGCCGCATTCATACGAATGGTTACGTCATTTGCCTTTTCCCTGGACGCATAGGATGTACGAGGATTATCAGCATTATCAGCATTATAAGAAGCATCTATTACGAGTAATCACCACAGATCCCTGAGGAATTCCCCCCAGAAACGTGTTGGATTACTACAATATTTGAATTTTAAGGGATTTCTTGTTTTAATTATCACCTTTGTTTTACCTTTGTTTTTATATCAATTATTCAGCTGCTGCTGCTGTTGGTATTCCAAGATCTGCCACACTGCTGCCAAGTTCCACTTTGTGTCACGATATGCCCATGATTTTCTTCCTGTCTGTAAGTGCAATATACTAAATTTTTCTGGTTTTTAATTTTACCTCACTATGTGCAGCCTTTTTCTTTTATATATATATGAGGATTTTCATCATCTGAGATTCACCATCCTCCTGATTCGTTCTAACCCCTGGTGGGGTGATCTGAAAACCAGATTGCAGAGAGTCACATAATGAGTTAGAGCAAAGGAAATGGGTCAAAGAAAATGGATAAGTGTGGTATATAGGGGACATTTGTGGAGGATTGAGGCAAAAGGGAGAATGGAGATTGGGAGATTAGCTGAAGGAGATTACTTAGAATTTGGTTTAGAGGGAAAGAAGAATCAGATCTGTTGACTTAGGTGATACAGTGACTCGAGATAGCAGGGTGTACCCAAAAGGAGATCTGCAAACTGTAAATTGGTAAAAGGGGGCTACAGATAGCTCTGGGAAACTAAGAGAGTGGAAATTAAAAGATTGAGAACTGAGCATGTGCAAGCCGTCACGATCTTAAAATAAAATTATAGTGTCACTTTCAAAATTGAATTGACTTAATCATGTTCATAATCATCATCATTTTGCCATATGACTACTTCTGTTAGCCATCTTGAACATCTTGCTTCTCATTATCTCTCCTTTTTCACTGCCTTATATTTCCATCTTCTGTCTCTCTCCTTTTCATACAATTATTACCATGTTATCTCCACCTTTAATGAATTCAATATTCCTTTATTTTTCTAGTACTAAACATATAATAAATAATGAGCATTTTTCTTGATACTTCTTTACTGGGAATGGTTCAAGGTTTCACATGCGTTTCTGTAGAAAGGCAGGATATTTACATGAGTTCTTATGAGGATAAAAAGTTCATTTTCAATTAGCCTATTACTGACCTTTTAACCCCTTAAGGACATAGCTTCAAATGCTTGTCTTGTGCTTAAGGACACAAGCATTTTTGCTAAGTGCGTGTTTAGCCGCAATTTCCATCTTTAGCCGCAATTTCCATCTTTCTCATTTATTGCACCAACACATAATGAATAGTGATGTTGCGAACCGTTCGCGAACTTTCCGCGAACGGTTCGCCATGGTTCGCCACGAACCGTTCGTGGCGAACTCCGGTCAGCTGACACATCCCTGCCAATCTCCGGCAGACCCTCCCTCCCAGACCCTCCTACTTCCTGGACAGCATCCATGTTGAAGTAGGAGGGTCTGGGAGGGAGGGTCTGCCGGAGATTGGCAGGGATGTGTCAGCTGACCGGAGCTCGCCACGAACCGTTCGTGGCGAACCGTGGCGAACCGTTCGCGGCAAGTTCGCGAACGGTTCGCAACATCACTAATAATGAATACTGATTTTTAAAGAATTAAAAGGGCTTTAATTTGACGTGACACATACATATATAAATTCTCATCTATAATAACAAAAACACAAAACAATGCAAAATGAATAAAATATATAGTTCAAAGTTTTGGCAATAATAACATTTGCAGAATTAATTATTGAGAAATGTAATTCAAAATAAATGAATGCATTTGTCCTGATTTACAGTATATATAATATGTCTTGGATTTCAGGTTTTTTCTTTTTTTTCTGTTAGTTACAGATCATAAAATACAAGGAGTAAAAAAATATTTCCAGAGAAACACATATAGAATTTGGTATGTTTGTCTTGTAAGCCTAATGTCTGTTAATTAAAGAAAATAAAATTGCCACACAAATATATTTATATAGACTTCACATGATATTAACTTAAGGGAAATTTTACCATTTGCATAGCCATGTAACTGCTAATCTCTGTTAAACAGTGTAGTAATAGTGTGCTTTTTCATAACATGTTCTTTTTCTTTTAAATGTGTATGTTGTAAACCTGATGTGAACCTGTACAAAACCCCATATTTTATTTAGCTACATTTTCTGAGTACAACATTGTACCCAGTGTGCCTTTGTAACGATCCTGTAAAGCTACAGTACCACACAGGAGACCGGACCGTTTTTGTTTTTACAGAAATATCTTCAATAGATGGATTTGATGTGCCTATGTCTCATTTTGGGGCATTATAGCAATTTCACCAATTTAAATTACTCCATAAATGCAGACCATTTGCAAGTGAAGATACCATGAAGATTCTCACATTATGTATTTTGAGATTTAGTGAGGTTCCATTTTTTTCCTCTTTTTTTAACGTTTGTGGTATTCATTTTTTTTCTACATTCACATTGTATTTTTGCTGCATATTTTTTTAAATATTATGTACCATTGTAACAAAATTATCTTCACAGTACTCAGCAACATCTCCTAAGTATAACAATACCCTATATGTGTACATTTGTAAAGTAACAATCTATATCATACCCCTAATCTTACACCAAACGCGAATTCTAAATGAAATGCTAATCTCAAAACTAATCATAAACCTCACCCTATTCCTAGCCTGTACTATAACAGCAGGAAATGCTAGCAGAATGCTTGGTTGTATAGGGAGAGGTATTAGCAGTAGAAAGAGGGAAGTCATCATGCCATTGTACAGAACACTGGTGAGACCACTTATGCAGTACTGGAGACTGTATCTTCAGAAGGATATTGATACTTTGAAGAGAGTACACAGGAGGGCTACAAAACTGGTTCATAGATTATAGGATAAAGCTTACCTGTGTGAAGGTTAATTTCCCTGCGATCGGTAGATGGATCTTCCAAACAGCAACCACCCCCAGGCTCATTAAATTCAAATAACCCACAAACTCAAGTGCTCTCACTGTGTGGGCGCCGTTTGTATAACCGAACAACACGTGCTGGAGAAAACGGCAGCCATCTTGACGCATGAAAACAGGCAGTGGGACTTGGTCATCAAGTGTCTGGAACTATAAGTCGGACACTTGGCCTCGCGAACACTGATAATTTCACACAAATGCTTGCTTCTTTCTGCGACAAGCCAGGAGAGCACGGGTTGGTAGGATTGTTCTCACGAACAAAGCGAACAATCGCTACCTGAAAGCCAGGGGAACCGTTCATTTTTTTGTTCGTTTTGGAACTCCCAAAATTGACCGACCACTACCAGTGACTCTCTGGAACTAATTTGGGCAGGCACCACGTGTGTGGTCGGTCAAAATTTTACACCAGTGGCGATTCGGCTGTATTCGTGGGATATAAGCGCTATTTGGCTATCCAGGGGTATAATATTTGTGGGGGTTCCTCTATGTGTTATATGTATTTTGGGGTATGTTATGTTTTATGATTTGTACCTCTAATGCTTGGGAGATAATTAGTTCAGGTAAAATACACTAAATTATTTACCAGACACGCCTGGTAGTGTCTTTGGCGTGTTTTGGGCATCTTGTGGGAGTGTTATACTATGTCCTTGCTTGAGATCCCATGATGGGGGTCTGTGTATATAAGTGGGCCAACTGGCCATAATAAAACATTCTAGTTGTATCCTTCATCAAGTCTCTATTGATGTTTGGGTATGCGAACGATGAACCGATTGATTTATTCTCATGATCAGCTTGGATTTCGGGAAAGTACGAATCAGCATACTATGTGAACGGGCTATAATCACTAAGCCTCTAGCATTTCGGGAGGATACTTCATGAAGTACATAAAGTTTATTTTTATAGATAAATTATTACTATGGAAATTGAATTTTTTTTCATAAATAAATTTAAATTTCAAAATATATGTATGTATTTTATTATATATATATAACTTTAAGGTATAGGTATTTCCTTGAATAGTGTTGTCAATTTATAAGGGTATGTATTTCAAGTGTTTTTGTCCTTTTGTGTGGTGTTTTCTGTGCATTTTTATATATTTTAGTTTTTTGGGGGCAAAATTGTGCTGCTACTATTTGCTGACATGGTCCATTTGTATTATTTTGGTTGTATTTGCTTTTTTCTTTAATATAATGACTACTTCGTTATCCTGCATTGATTGCTAGCCAACAGCTTGATAATGATAGGAAACAATTGTGGAAGGGATATACTAGATAAAGTGTGAGTACTTACGAGGAGTGAGGAGCATGGAACAGCTGTCATTTGGAAGAAGCATGTATGTTCGAAACACTTCTCAAAGTTGTAAACCAAGAAATGAGTGTGGTCTCTAATTAACAAGGACTTTTATTTTGTTGCCATGCAGCCCGAAAAAGTGCTTCTGTATGTATTCCCCACTGCTCTGCTTTTGTTTACCTTGACATAAGGATGTGTAAGCTTTTATCTTTTGAAATTAATCATATTACCTCCACTTCTCTGTATTTTCGCTACCTGCTGGCCATTACTGTTAGACAAAATGAAAAAAAATCTGTGTGAACAAAAATGTGAAAACAAACTGTGCTGGTGATTTTTTTTAAAAAGGGAAAAATATATATACATTCTATGAAAGCCTCAAAATATATATCTATTAGTAGAGAGTAGCTTGTTTAAACTGACACACTGTATGAGGTGTCAGTATTAAAAAGTAGCTACTAATGTGTTTTATGTTGCAAAATAATAAACACCCAGACTTGCAGACTCAATTAGAACAGAGCACACTCCCGCCGCAGACTCCCACTCACAGATACCCACATTACAACTCTATTGAAGGCTAACTGAAAGGGCAGTTTTTTTCCTCTCCCTTACATAATAGTTAACCCTTTCAATGTATCTCACTCTCCAAAAAGGAAAAAGAGTTACCTGTGGTTTATTTCAAATACTATACTAATATCTACCCCTATTCTTTTAAATCTCTAAGCTTTTCTGCAATGACACATTAGTAGCTACTTTTTAATACAGACAACTCATACAGTGTGTCAGTTTAAACAAGCTACTCTCTACTAATAGATATACAGTGGGACCTTGGTTTACGAATTTAATGCGTTCTCTGGGACGTTTCTTATTGCGAAACATTTGTAAACCGAAACGCGGTTTCCCATAGGAATGCACTGAAAACCAATTAATCCGTTCTGGAGGTCATAAAAAAGTCAAAATGAGCTGGCATGGAAACCAACCCACAATGCAGAATGCACAATAAAAGGCATGCAAACAACAAAGCTCCCTACCTTTCCACAACTTGAGAAATGCACCAAAAAGTCCCAAAACAACTGCAAACAATTTCCAGAATGGCTCCAAAACTCGATGCAAAAGCCGCTCCAACACCTTCACACTCGACGCCACGTGCTACCCACAGGCTCCAGCATGCAGGGGGCGGTGCTATAAACCTCCCGGGTGCAATGCATCCTAGGGAAACCTGCTTTGTATTGCGGAAAAAAAATTGTAAACCGAGGCATAATTTTCAATGGATTTTAATTTGTAAACCGAAAATTATGTTAACTGAGGCGTTTGTAAACCGAGGTACCACTGTATATTTTGAGGCTACCATAGATTGTATATTTTTCCCTTTCTTTTTAATCACCAGCACAGTTTGTTTTCACATTTTTTGTTTACACAGATTTTTTTCGTTTTGTCTAACATATGAAATAAAGCTTAATATTATTTTTAATTGATTTTTTACTCAATAGGTGGGTAACACCCTTTTTGTCTTTCTGACATATGGTATCCGTGTGTTCGCACACCCTGTTCCGTTTTCTCTAATTAAGTCACTCAGGCTACTCTGGGAGGCCATAAGCCTTTCTAAAGAGATGGGTTTTAAGGCACTTCTTAAACAATTGAAGACTAGGGGAGAGTCTGATTGCGGTAGGCAGGCTATTCCATAGAAAGGGAGCCACCCATGAGAAGTACTGCAAGTGTGAGTTGGCCGTACGGGTACGAGGAGCGGACAAGAGAAGGTCACGGGCAGAGCGGAGAGACCAAGAAGGGACATACTTATGGATCTGTGATGAGATATAAGAGGGGCTAGAATTGTTCAGTGGTTTATAGGTATGGGGTAGCACTTTGAATTGACTCCTATAGGATACAGAAAGCCAATGTAAGGACTGACAGAGGGTGAGGTGTGAGAAGACCGACTAGAGAGGAAAATCAGGCTGGCGGCAGCATTCATTACAGACTGTAGTGGGGCAATATGGCTTTTGGGAAGACCAATTAGGAAAGGGTTACAATAATCCATGCAGGAAATTACTATAGCATGGACAACCTCCTTGGTGGCATATTGCATAAGAAAGGCAGATGCGGGCTATGTTTTTAAGATGGAATCTACAGGATTCGGCAATATCTGGGTGTCATCAGCGTACAGGTGGTAGTGGAATCCAAATAAAGGTAAAAAGTTTGCCAAGAGAGGCAGTAAAAAGAGAAAATAGTAGGGGACCAAGA